GTGGCGCTCTGCAGCTGCCGCGCCACTGCGGGAGAACGCGGGACGCGCGTGGATCCGGACACCCGGTCTGGACGCTGGGCGGTGGTAGACCTGTCCTCCCCCGGGCTGCGCAGAGACAGCAAGCAGAGGGCGCGGCTGCTACTTACTGGCGCGGCCACAGCGTGCTCGGTGGAGTAGCAGCCGGAGACACGCTTGGCTGGCTGGAAGCTCTGCAGGAGGCGGAGGAAAGGGCCTGCCACGGCCCCACCGCAGACCTCGGCCTGTGGGGGTGACCTCCTTTCACCGCTCCCACCCTGGGTGCCTGCTCTCTCTCTCTCTCTTGTCAGTTCATTTTTGGTACTCCACTCCCTGCTCTCCAGCGTGGTTCTCCCGCCTGAGTCCCGAACCCATGTCCCCACTGCGCTCCTGAGTGGAGGAGGCCAGTACCAGCCATGAATGAGCCTTTTGTTCTGGGACTGCTTGGCATCTCTCTGCAGCGATCTCACAGCATCTAGTCCCCAGGCACAGCTTGGTTCCTTCCCCAGCTACCTGTAGTCGGACTGGGGCTCAAGCTTGGAGGCTAGGGAGATAGGATGGGAGAGGCCCTGGGGCCCTGGGGAAAGTCGAGTTGCTAAGGCTTGGAGACTCTGAGAAGCTAAAAAGGGGTGGCCCAGGGAGCCCTTGAAAATCAGCACCAATGGTGGGTGAAGGAAGACCTCAGCTGTGTTCTCAGAGTTAGAGCCCCACCCCACCGGTTTATGATAAAATCTTAAGTCTCCAGAAAAGGCCAAGGGTGCTGGGGTACTCTTGAAAGAGCCACCCAAGTATCAACATGAATTCTGCTTACAAGTTCCCTGGGATGCCTAGCAACAGTCTTGCACACAATAGATACTCAAAAAAAAAAAAAAAAAATGTTTGCTAAAGGAAGGTACGAATAGCACACTGCGGTGTTCAATAGGAAGTTCAACTCAGTACCATTGTCTATAAGATTACTAAAGTCCATTGTTCATTCAGAATACACATACCAAAACCCTTCTGTGTACCATTGCTGTGCCAGGTTTTGACCACATGGCAAAGAGTAAGACTGGAGTGGACCTTTCCTTCATAGAACTAGTGTCAGAATGTCAAGTTGATTGACCACATGGAAGAGAAAGTGACAACCACCCTCTTCTCAAGTCTGCCAGCTGTGGTCCTAAAGCCATGCAATAGCCTAGCATTCAAGGTACCTTGAGGTTCAGGGGAGACCTGGGTCGTCTTATCATCCCCTGCCCACACACACACACACACACACACACACACACACACACACACATATACATCCAGGTCTTTAAGTCCAAGGGCAAGCTCTATGGAGGTGGACTGTGGCAAAGGTTGGGAAGTGCTTTGTCACTGACTTCACAAGGCCCAAACTGCAGTCCATACTCAAGGAAAGCTGGCACCATAGTGGAGCACTGCCCTGCCTCCTCAGCCCTTAGGATAGGTTCCCCAGGTGTATCAGAGCTGCCTCCTCTAGGCTGTTTCCACTCTTTCCCCTCCTTGGACTGTGAGGACGAACACAGCATGAAAAGAAGGCAAATTCCATTTACCCATCTCCCAATTGTGAGCCCCAGAGACTCCGGTATGAGTAGTATTCCCAAAAGGGGGGTCTCAGAAGCGCTTTCAAGCCTCACTCTGCCCTCCCCTCCTTCTCCATGGGAATCAATGGGGAATCAACCAAAGTACACTTTCTCTCCAAATCCCTTCCAGGTGAGGACAAGACAGTTGATTTAATGCAGCTTCACCTTCTCTCCTCTCTTGGTCCATCAACTTCCTCCACCTCTCTGAGGATGCCTTGCCTGGCCTGTTTTTACAGAGGAGAAGACTTCTGCTCAGGAGGATAAAGAAGCACTCCCAAGGTCACAGAGGCGAGATCAAAACCCCAAGTGTACCTGACCCAAAGACCCATAGTTTCTATACCAAAACCTTCGGGCCCAGGACCATGAATCTGACCATACCGGTTCTTTGGAGTAATGACAATCCAAATATTGGACTATCCAACATTCCAGCCTCTTGCCCTCTGTAGAATGAACTGGACTACCCTTGCATTCAGGAGTCAACATTAAAGAATCCTATCACTGCCCAAAGCACCGTTTTGTGGAACAAACAGCCATCTTCCGATGCCTTACCATTCAGCCAATCAACAAACACAGATCATCCCTTGTGTGCAAAGTTAAGTTGTAGGTCTTCTTTAGAAGTGATTTTGACCTCTGGGTAATGAAGGACCTCCCCACCCCAAGAGCATCAGTGCAGTTATGGGGAGGCTGGGAGACTTGGGGCAAACCCTGCTGTCCTGGGGAACAGAATGAATGTATAGCTGCTGGTTGGGTTGAAGTCTTGCTCTGGTCACTGGCTTAGAGGAACATCTCTACTGGATCCCTGGATTCCTTCCCTCTTGCCTTTCACTGGTCACTCACCTCTGGGCCATTCTCTCATCCCCACACTCATTCCCCCTTCAGTATGTATTCAAAGACAAGTTTATTGGGGGGGGTCGAACAAAAATAAATCCCAGTACCCTCCCTGAAATGCACGTGGTGAAATTAAATGTAATTCTTGCAAAACTGAGGTGCAAGACCACCCCCACCAAAAAAAAACCC